TATATATATATATATATGGGATAATATTCCTCTCCTCAAAGAGGGAGTGTCTCTCTGAGATTTAAATGCATTGAGGTTTACAATGCTGCACTAAGTACTTCCTCTTCCTTTTCCTCTCTCGTTTTTACTTTTTTTTCTTCTTCCCCGCTTTCTTCCCTCCTGCCTCTCTTTCTTACCACCTGCTACCTGCTCGTCCATCTCATGTCCTACCCTATTATTCTTCCCCTATCTTCTATTTGCCTTTCCTATTTTTCCCTCAACGCCCCCTTCTCTCGTCCGCCCCCCACCACCTGTGTTTCTATCCCCAGGGCGCTGCACACCTCTCCTCAAGGCGGGTGAATGTCTTCAATTACGCTCTGTTCACCCAACACTAGCGACCTAAATGAACCTTCCAACAATCACCAATACTGTATGGCTTTTACTAATAAAAAGGTTAGAAATGCTTTTTTTAGGTGACAAACGGAAAAAAAGACACAGCGCTCTCTTGGGAGTGTGGGGTCTGTGTAGGTGCAATCGATCAGGATTGCTGCTCTAAGAACAGGGGGAGAAACCTGTGAACATGGAAAAGATGCAATAAGAGCGCAAATCCTGGGAGTGCGGAGGGTGTAGGGACAATCAGTGTCTATGTGTGACGGGTGGAGAGAACAAAAAGTCAAAAAAGTCACTTACCTTTCCATTTGAGCTTGAGAAAGAGGATCTCCTTGAAACGCGTCGCTCCTTCACTACCGTTCCGTGCACGTTCTTCCCCAGCCTTCTGTCACTTTCACTCCATCACGTCCCAAGAACACCGCGATCAAGACCATAGGCATCTTCTTCACTAGCCCCTTGGCACACACAGCATTCAGTTCAGACTGGTTCTTCATTCACCCCTTCACTTGCCGGGAGACACCGAATATGTCTCGCATCGCTAATACTTCGGAAGGGCCCTCCTTGTCAGGACCTTCGGCCCCTCAAGTAAGTTCCTAATCCTTTGTTTTTTTACTTTTTGTTCTCTCCACCCGTCACACATAGGCACTGATTGTCCCTACACCCTCCACAATCCCAGGATTTGCACTCTTTTTTTTAGGAGACACAGTTCCAAACAGATCACACACCCAAAATCAACAACACTATCTGATCGATGTGTGACAGATTTATCATGCTAAAGATAAGGGCTATACGTGCTACGCTTCAGCCAATCGTACACCCACATTGAAGTTTTCCTCATTAGCGAATATACCCTAACATTTTATCCAACTAACTTCATTGTCTATAATTTGTGGTCTGACCATGTCCCTTAATACCTGATCCTCACCTTACTAGAACTTGCTAAGCAGGCATAGACCTGGAAATTACATGGCAATCTCTTGAACAATCTGTGCACCTCAGATATATCTCAGACTCCTTGTCTTCTCAGTGGAAAGTTCCTTAATGCATCCTGTGGGGATTTATCAAACGTGGCACTAAGCTAAAATAAAAAAATTCTGACTGTCCCAAATAAATGATTTAAACCGGATTGTTAGTCCAGAAACCTCTCACAAGAAAAGACAGAATCAAGACAGATACACTCCTTTGACTGTCCCAAATAAATGATTTAAACCGGATTGTTAGTCCAGAAACCTCTCACAAGAAAAGACAGAATCAAGACAGATACACTCCTCCAACTGTCAGATAGTAAACAGGCTTACGCAATACTATAAATTCTGAACACATACCTAAGAGGCTGTACCTGTAAACTCTTTAATGATTAGGGTGATAAACCTGGTAAGCTGCTGGCTGAAGACCTTCAAACTAACAATAGTGCAGTCTCTATTCCGTTGCTAAAAGATGATAAAAGGCCACACTATGCACAATCCTAAATTAACCATCTCTTTCCCTTCTGCTATGAAAGGACATTATAGGAATATATCAACTTCTTTTTCCTCTAAGATGAAAGACTATGTGGACAAAACTGTCCTCTCCGCTTTTTCTTTCTAATAGAGGACAGGTTAAATACACAATATCCTCCCTGACGACCCAGTTGTTTGTTGATCTTGCATTCCCTCCTGCTTTATCCCATTCTCACTTTCTAATGTGGGGATAAAGGCAAAAAGTTTTGAATTAACTTTACTCATTCACAAATGGGGGCGGCATCTGGGTGCCCCCTTAATTATAGGGGTACCCCGATGCAAATAAGCCCCCCTGCCCGCAGACCCCCACAACCACCGGGTCATGTTTGTGGGGAAGAGGCCCTTGTACCCATCGGCATGGGGACACCCTCCCAGTGCCGAGGGCACGTGGCCTGGTAAGGAGCGTTGGCGCTCGAACGCACCCCCCCCCCCTTTCCTGCCTGGCCTGCGCTCGGATCAAGGGTCTGGTAGGAGTTTTTTTTTGGGGGGGGACCCCATGTTTACCCCCCCCCCATTGTTGGGGGTGGGGTTCCCCCTTAAAATTCCTACCAGACCTAAAGGGTCTGGTATGGTTTTTGGGGGGAACCCCACACACTTTTTTCTTCACTTGGAGGGGTCCCTCCTAACATTCCTACCAGACCTAAAGGGCCTGGTAACAATTGGGGGGGAACCTCACACTTTTTTTTCCTCTTCTGCAGACTTTTTTTTAGGGCTGCGGAAATTAATGATTAATTACTCGATTAATCGTTAATATTTTTGATCAATTAAAATTCTTTTGATCAGTAATTAAAACTCTCACCTCTCCGCCGGCTTCCTGGTCTTTCGGCAGTCCCGTCGCAGATCCGGTGACGTCCATGTCCGTGACATCATCGGACTCCTCCCCCCTTCCCTTCGTTAGCCGACGGAGCCACTTGTGCCGGTGATCTGTCGATACTGAGAACTTATCGAGTTCTGTGACCGCCTGACTTCCGGTTTCGTTACAGCTAAAAGGTTTGCCCAAGAAACTTGTTCTGCACGAGCGCCAGCCAAGGCATTGGCCTATACACATACAGCACAGCCATGAAGTAATAAAATGAACTAGGATCACACTAATCCAGCACATTATTATTCTGAGTTGCCCCACTCAAGCGGCGGCCATATTGACTGGGGCGCGTGAGATTAATAACGTGCTGGATTAGTTTGATCCTAGTTCATTTGATTACTTCATTGATGTGCTGTATGTGTATAGGCCAATGTAATTGGATCTGTATGTGCGTTATAATTAATCGAAATTAATCGATAAAAAAATTTGATTAATCGAACACGGAAATTTTAATCAGTACCAGCCCTATTTTTTTTCTTTTGTCTAATGTCACTTTGCTGCAACGAATATTCATCCAGAAATGAAAATTCGTACAGACTACCGCTAACGAATTTCTTCCAAATCTGAAACGAATTGACTTTCGGACCTATTTCCTTAGCTAAATCCAGGTAGTGACTTTTTTTTTGGCAAGGCTGTGTACATGTTACTTTGATGCTCAGCTTTATCTAGTGACCATGATGCAGTATTGTCCCCATTGGGAATCTTTGGGATGTGCTGGAGAAAACTTTACACAGTGGTCTGACTGTTCCTGTGCCATAATCAAAGCTAAAGGCGGTCCAACAAAATATTAGAGTGTGTGACTTATTTTTGGCCAGTGATCCTCTGCTTCATCTAGTGTCCATAATGCGGTATTGTCTCCACTGAAGAACAATCGACAAGAAGAGAAAAGACACTAAGAACATTAATTTTTCGCCCCATTCTCATAATGCCAGTTAACTCGCTGAGAATGAATGTACGTGAAGGTTCACTGGACGAATGAGTTATGTGATTTTTTAAAAATAAATAGACCCTTAAGGGCCAGTTCACACCAATTGCGGTGCATACCAGAGCAGTAGCTGCTGGAACGCACAGCAATCGCACACTAAACTCCCCCCTTCGTTCTGGGGCAGAAGGGGGCGTGGCGGTGCATTTAAGTCAATGGCACTGCAGCCATGCCCCCCGCAGTGTGATCGAACGCACAGCAAAACATTGCCTGCGGTCCGGTCCACTTGTGGTGGGGGGCGTGGTGATTTCAATACACCACCACGCCCCCTCCTGCCCCAGAACGAAAGGGGGAGTTCAGTGTGTGATTGCTGTACGTTCTAGCAGCTACCGCTCCGAAACGCACCGCAATTGGTGTGAACTGGCCCTAAGGCGTCATTCACACTGGCCGTACAGATCTGTGCGGCGTGCATGCCTATAAACAGCCCATCCTGGTTGGGACATATGCTGCGTGTGATTGCGCTCAGCAGCCTGTTCTTCCCTATGGGAGGACACGGCTGTGCGATGTCATCCGTGTGGATGTATCCTGTCTGCGTCAAAGTGCGGACACCCCTACCCGGATGTGCAGTTCGTACAGCCGCGTCCTCCCATAGGGAAGAACAGGTTGCTGCGCGCAATAACATGTCCCTGCCGGGATCGGCTGTTTACAGACGTGCACGTCCCAGCGAATCATGTGAATGAGGCCTTATGCAGACCGACTTATCAGAACAATCAGTGTAATACTAGCAGTATACCTCCGCACCACCAGGTGGCGCTGTACTACGTGTATGCAGTGACCGATCGAGAAATGACGTATGAGTGACAGCTGATGGCAGCTTCCTTGGTACACGTGGGTGGAGATGTCGCTGGATGCAGGGCAGTGTGCCCAATTCTACCAGGACCTGGGGCTCAGATCAGTCAGTCTAGTGGCATTAAAGCTCGAGGAGTATGCAAAGTGAGTAATGGTGAGCTAGTGCTGTATAGCATCAATGATTGTTTACCCTGCAGAACTGACCGTGTTACACCTATAAGCTTAGCCACTGCTTGTAATGCAGAGGTGCATAGTCAATGATACCATCTAGAAGACGATCAGCAGGACTTACTACAGATCATGAAAATAGGTTATATTTAGACTAAAGCAGTAAAATAGCACAAAGATCAGTGGGGAAAGTGCAGCAAGCCATGTTACCCATCATATTTCAGCTTCCTGGAGTGGAATCAGATCTATGGAAAAATGTGGGTTACAGCACTTATTAAAGTGGAGTCTGAAAATAAAAAATTGCTTTTAGCAATTTTGTGTACCCGAGGAACATGTGCAGTGCAGTGTACACTCCTGCACAGTTCCCATAATCTGTGAGATGCTGAGAATAGATCTGGGTACTGGGATAAGTATGCTTGTCATATTTGCACGCTATCGCAAGAACCTGCCCACTTTGCAGGTAGTAATGTTCTGCTTTAAAGGAGAACTATGAGGTGAGTGCTTTTCACTCACCTCATAGTTCTAGCTGACCTGGGACAATGAGACTGTCACAGGACAGCTCAGTAGATCGAGAGGTGAGCGAACACATACCAGCGTTCGCTCACCTCTCGATCCTGTCACGGCTCTCTGCCGTGAACGGGGAGGGGCTGGATTCTCCGATCCGCCAGCGCTGACTGGTGGAACGGACAGGGGAGGGGACGGGTACAGCTGGCTCTGCCTCTAGATAGGCAGAGCCAGCTGTCAGTCACGCAGCTGGGCGGATCCCGGCACAATTGTCGGGATCCGCTTCAGCTGCGGCGTCTCATTATACCGCGAACTACAGCTTGCGGTATACTGATCCTAGGGTGACGGGAGGACGCTAGTTTGTGTCCTCCCGTTACCCTAAGGAGAACTATGGGGAAAAGCCTTAACCCCATAGTTCTCCTTTTTAAGGAAGAATTTTGGAAAGATTTCATAGCTGAAGTCTGAGATTAACAAATATTATCTAAATGTATTATGTATTCCTTCCAGATCTGTGCAGTTTGCAGTGATCCAGTTTGAAACTTTGTCTCTGTACAGGACCTTCCTGTAACAAAGACCAGTCACTGCTGCTCTCTCTCTCTCCTTGTACAGGTTGACAGGTCTTGTATTCGCCCCCTTCTCTTGTTTTCTCCTGGCAGCCCATAGTTGGTGGGTCTGCTGGGCCGTCCCACAGCTCTGCTCTCTGTATAGGCTATGTACAGGAGGGTGATGATGTCACTGCTACTTTATAAGATAATATCTGGGTTTGCAAAAGTTTTTAGTGCACACAACGTGGATTTATATCATGCGTGACTATTGAGAAAAATGTGAATATATTGGTTCAATACGGAGTTCAGCTTTAACCAACAGCACAAATGATTGTGTTTTGTCTCTGCTGAGTCTATAACTTTAATGATTTTGGTCTACAGGCATGTGACCACTAACCCTTCATGCTGTTCCTTTTCTCTCGGGGGGTGGAGATTGCAAAGAAGATTGACTGAGGGAGGAGCAGAGGAGCTGTATCAGCTGGATAGGGAACATATCTGTCGGAGTTCGAATAACACAACAAAGAAGATTGCTACGAGCACACAATATATGCATAAGCACAGCTTCTGGGTAGCGACCATGCTGGGGAAATCTGCCATTTCAACAGTGGCTAAATAATAATAGTGTGGTCAGACTGGGGCCAGAAAGAAATAGTATGATCAGGGAAATGGTAGGATCAGCGATTCATTGCTTTTGCCATCCCTAAGCCAGGGGTGAACAATTAATGTGGAGTTCAGGAGCCAGCCTGTCTAATCCAGGAACCAGCAGAATTTCCTCCTGATCCAGAGGCAGCTGGAGGAGTTTAGATTGCTCTTAATTTTGGGTTCTGGTACCAGTGGTTACTAGGAAAGAAATGAGAGGGACTCCCATTTACAGTTTAGAAAGTAAACCGGTTCTAATCTCTCCTTGCTCATGTTAGAACTAAAAAGAAAAGGTTTGGCTGGAGTTATACTTTAAATTTGTTTTACAGTAAATTCTGCACAGTTTGCACTATTCTGCATTAGTTCTCCAGACCAATCATTATTAATCAACTTCTTTTCCAGGGCTTCAGCAAAGCGCTGCAAAGAAAAGCATTTGGATGAAGCTAACCATGAACTGGAAGGTACAGAGCAGGCTTTGGAACACCTCAGTGAAGAACATTTCCTTCCATTACTCTCCTGTATCCTTGCCTGTCAGATGGATTCTTGCAACAGCTCCAGCTTATTCTTGAGGCTTGAGAAGGTGAAACTCCAAGTTATGTCATTCAAACAACACGTAAAAGGAAAAGCACATATATAAAATGTCAGTGGGCATGTTAAAGTGACACTAAACGGTGGCTACTTTACAACACACACAGGGTCCATGGGGAACTAAAGTAGCCACCCTCCAGAAGGAAGGACAGTGTCAGCACCAATTCAGAGATGATTGGAGGATCCACAGCCAAATACAACTACATTTTTGTTAATGGGGTACTTAAATGTATTTTTAAGGTTTACTCCTGGGTTTAGCGTCACTTTAACCACTTGCCGTCCGCCAACAGTGCACGGTCAGACAGCTCCCGGCAGGATCACGTATATACACGTAATTTTTTTTTCCTGCGGGCAGGCAGAATCCCACTGGGAGATCTAAAGCCAAGCGATCAGTTGAGTGAGAGGAGAGGAGACGTGACAACCACTTCAAATAATATCCAGCACATTTTAGCAGAAATTTATGAAGAAAGATTATTTATGTGCAATGTTTCAAAGCTTAACATAGGGAAGACAGGTTATTTTTTAAAATTTCGGTAATGTTTCCTTTATATAGTAAAAAATAAAAACCCCAGTGGTAGTTAAATACCACCAAACGAAAGCTCTATCCGTACTCCCAAAAAATTATATAAAATTAATTATGATACAGCTTTTCATGACTGAATAATTGTCAAATTGCTGCAGCGCTGAATACTGAAAAATGGCCTGGGCAGAAAGGGGGTTTAACGCCCTGGTCATCAAGTGGTTAAAGGGAACCTGTGGCCAGCCTATAAACATTCAAGTATTAACCCCTTCGTGACTGACGACGTACAGTGTACGTCGCCAGCATCGGGGCTGTTTAAACGGACAGCCGGGACTCTGTTTAAACTTGTAAAGCCGACTGTCAGCTTTACAACAAAAGTGATTCTGGCGACTTACCTGTCGCCAGATCGCTTCTGTGTCCCGTAGAAGGGCAACCCCCCCCTGCCAGACACCGCCGCCGTGCGTCCCGGGCTCCGTTGCCCCTCCTACGGGCCCAGGACCGGTGTCCGCGGGGAGCTGGGGAGGAGATCGACGAACTTCCGTTCATTGATCTCCTCCCCGTTCTATCGGACCGCGAGCGATGCAGATTGCATCACTTCTGGTCCCTGGGCTGTCAGTTCTGGGCTCCTGCAGCCCAGCTATAAGCTATTGAAGTGCGATCTGCACTTCAATAGCTTATTTCCAGTGTAAAGGTGACACTGGGGGTCTTTTGGACCCCCAGCATCACCTTAAAGAGGACCTGTCACCACCATCTGCTATTACATGGGGGGGCTTGTAAGATTAAATAAAGCTCTTACTGATCTCTGTAACTGCAGGCACGGTGGAGCAATTCATCTTTAGTCATTGTCTAGTTCAGCTCAGCATTTGATTTCATGGTGGGGGACATCTGACTCCTCTATCACTGACAAACCTTATACATTTCTGACCTTGCATGTGCTCTGTTTTTTTTCCAGTTAGTATTGAAGATGTCACAAATAAGACCATGTCTGGTAAGACAGCAGAGAAAACGGTTGCTGATTACCATTTTGGAGAATAAAGAGGTGAGGCACTGGAGGTGAGCAAAATTGTGTGAACTCAGGGACCAAATTTTACATTGTGCACATTTTGTTTCTTGCATTATGTGTACTTTTTTTTAGTGTTGGATAGAATAATGAGGGGTTAGCACCCCTGTGTTTTGTTTTTTTTTTTGCAGTCTGTGTCCTTATTAGGGATATACAATATTTGTCCCGGTAACCACCATCATCAGGACAGAAGGTGCGGGAGAATCCAACATTTTGAGTTGCCACCAGAACATAAAGGAATAGAGGAGAATCCAACACTTACAGTGTCAGCTGTGTCAGAGGGGTTTTCCACTACATTGGAGGGATTTCCCTCACACTTCCTGATGTTTCTATAGGACAGGAAGTTAAGGAAAATCTCCTCAATGTGACACAGATGGAAAAAAACCTGATAGGGGTTTATACCATTCCCTACTGTACTGACATTTTTTGGGGGCTTTAGTTATATTTTAATTAAAAATACAAGCACAAACGTAAATATATTTAATATGTTTGCTACTACAGTATCCTGTTTTATGTTCTATACTAAAAACATCTGAAACTGTCTTTATATCATTAATCACAGGTGCTACATGTCCGAGATCTACAGGCAGGTACTTGTTCCTATTTCCCTAAAGAATGAATGTTGTGTTTGTTATTCTGGTATCATCCAACCTAGCTTTCCTTTAGGACAGGGTTAGGCAACCTCCAAATTCCAGCTGTGGCAAAACTACAAATCCCATCATGCCTCTGGGTGTCATGCCTGTGGCTCTCAGTCTTGCAATGCTTAATGGGACTTGTAGTTCCACAACAGCTGGAGTGCCAAGGTTGCCTACCCCCACTTTAGTATTTAAATTCACTGTAAAGTTTACATGATGTATGCATGTCATTCATCTTATTCTATATGTTTTCTTTCTTTTCTTTTCTTCAGTTTGTATGTATTTGGAAGGAAGCCAATCAGGACGGACATATTTTACCCAGCACCTACCTGCCTTACTTACAAAAGTCTCTGGGACTTTGTCTGCAGTGGTTCAAGATCATGTGTCACAGGGTTCCGAACATCCTCATCTAGCAGTCAAAGTAAGATTATGAGGATCTGGTACATTACCTTTTTCTATAGAAGGGTGGCCTTTTCTAGCTGTTGATGAGCATCAGAACACACAACTGCACATACACCTTAAAAGCCAACTATTGGTTGCTCTTTATATTTGAAATCTACCATTTGAAATCATTCTGTTTATATATGTTCCAAAAAACCTATTGATCCTGCCAGAAATCATGTGAACTGGTAATTTCCTGTGCTTTCTACCTCTGTTGGCTGTTATCAGTTACCATTGTTCCCAGTCTCTCTGTGAACTACAGCACTCCTCCCTCTGTTATGCAGAGGAGGAGAAACAGTAAGATGGATAAGCGTCATTGCCCTAGGACAGAATGCGGCAGGATCACCAGGTAAAAAATAAAGTGAATAGAAAAGACATGTAACGTAGCCACCTCATTAAAGGACTACTAAGCTGCAATATATATTCAGTTTTTAATTAGGTATTCTAAACTTTATATGTATTTTTCCTCTCTAAGATACCATTTGACATCTTACTTACTTAGTCTGGTTGAAAAAGACACAAGTTCATAGAGTTCACCCTAAAGTCTACCTTTTTTTTTTTAATGTTTTAGAAAAACCTGACAGCACTGTAAATGGGGAAACAATGTGATAACTCTTTCATCCAGTTTAATATTAGACCTATTTTTCATGTTTCTATTTGTTTTTTGTGCTTTCTTCTAGTTGTGCCTTCAGCTGTTCAGGGAAGTAGCGGAGAGGATTAGTCCATTCATTTGGGGTTCTGCTTGTGTCCCGAACCCCCTTGAAAGCATTCTGGAATCTCTTCTGTGTATAATTACAAACCAGGTAATTAATATTGTTGGCAGACATGCAGCTGTAGTTCTTTTCAAATATGAATTCTGTTCACAACCAGAAATTACTTGGGAATGCCCTGAGGTTTGTTGGTGATCTATAATGAAGACTGCACTCTAAATGAGCATAGCTTAGGCAGAGGAATAGATTTGCATGTTGTGTGATGTGTAAAGCAGATATTAAAGACAAATCCATGCAGCTCTGTAATCAATACACTGTATGTAAAGTCAAAAGTTGTTTTTTTTAAGTTTTGGATAGACACTCTGTCAAGTTTTTCTTTCATTCTGTGTCTTTGCTGGGGGGATTTACCCTCTCTATTTGTCCCCAAGACAGTAAGCAAGGAAAAAAATCTGAAATGTTACAATTGTCATCAGACAAGTAATGAGGGGAAATCTTCCAATGTGATAACTGTTTAAGATAAACATTCCCCTCACTTTGAAGTGATTTCCTTTCACTTCCTGTTTCCTCTCCAGGACAGAAAGGGAATGGAAATCTCTGCAGCAGGACACATACAGCAGAACATAACCTGATATGGGTTTTAACCCTTCCCTACTCCCCCCAAAACAAAAAAAAGGTTTTGGCTATACATACACTTTAATGCATAACTATGTGTATTTTTAGTGTAAGTACCGGATTCATTTTAAATTGGCCTACTGTACACCAGAGCTTAGGGAGAGAGCAAAAGCAGCACATAAAGCCAAATGGCTATGCTGCAGTACTAGGAACATAGTGACCGAAAGAGAGAGCAGGGAGACAGAGGGATGAGCTAATCACTGTGCTGCCTCTCCTTCACTGTCCATTCCCACAGTGGGGATGGAAAGTGAAATTGTAGCCGAGAAGGGTCAGGTCCCTTTCTCTGCCAGGGTGGACTATGCTTGGTGTCAGCATTGTGTAAATCTTAAGATTGGATGGATACAGGAATCATTCAGACAAGCAGAGAGTGAATGCAGGAATCACTCAGACAATAAATCTCCTGCTGCGGAGATTTCCCTTCACTTCCTGTCCTGGAGAGGCAACAGAATGTGAGAGGAAATCTCTTTAAAATGAGGGGATTGTTTATCTTAAACAGTTGTCGCATTGGAATACTTCCCCTCACTTGCTTGTCTGATGACAATTGTAAAGTTTCAGATTTGTCCTTGTTTTCTGTCTTGGGGACAATAGAGAGGGTAAATTTACCCCAGCAGAGACACAGAATGAAAGAAAAACTTGCATATCCTTTGGCAGGCAAAACAGCCAACAAATATGCATTATATATGAGATTTTAACTACAAATGGACTTCATTTTGAAAGTATAGCTCCACTCAAAACACAGCAATAACAATGGCTGAAGAGAATTTCCACAGAACATATAAGTGGTGGTGGAGATGGCAGCAGGGAACTGAAGATGGAACCAACATCGCTGGAGAAGGGAACAGACCTGTAAGTTGTGTGCCAAAATGTGCAAGTATGTTGTGCACATTATGGTAAAAAACCCACCCAGGATACAGGGGTTTCCTACCACTTGACTGCATGTTTAACAGACTAACTAGTCATAGGCAGTTGTATGAATATGCTTTACGATAATCTCTAACTTTGTTTATATTTCTAATGCTGATTTGCTACCTTTCTCCATTTCTAGAAGTTTAGTCGAGATGTCAGACTGTTGGCAGGCACAGCTGTGGCCTCTCTAGCAAATACAGGACCAGTGGTGGAGTCTGCCGCCCAGGCTGCCATGAACCTTATACAGCAGATGACAAGTGGTGAGTAAGTCATAATAGTACATGGTTTTCTTTTTACCATTTTAAATCACAGGTAAGTCAGGTGGAGTAAGCTGGTATTGGCACCACTGCATTTTAAGCTTCACCTTTCTGACCTTTCATGATTTTAACCATCTTTTTGTGGCCTGGTTATTACTTGGCCTAGTTTTCTGACTACGCTTCAACACCACTTGCCTTCGCCTGAATCCGGTCACAACTTTGTTTTATAATTTCTGCTTCACCTGATCCTTTCTGTACTGTCAGCTGCCACCAGTAAGAGCTTTAACCTGGGAGTTGTACTCCAGCCAAACTCACCCCCGATTATTAAAGACTCTTGTGAAATCTAGGCCTAGTTCTCGACTGTAGTGTCAAACCTGCGTTTATATGCCTTTAGAGTACATTTCTAAACGCACACTGTACATGCATGTTATTGATTTCCAATGATATCATTCCGACTTTGCAGTTACCTGCATTTCTTTTTAGTTGCTTTTAGAATAAGTAGAATTTGGTGCATCCAGGGTCTGAGTTGAAACTCTAAGCGCGGCTTTAGGCAGGAACATCTAAACTCAGGGAAAAGTGATGTGGGAATCATTTAAGTTGGGTATATTTCTAAACACAGCTAAACACAGGAGTGTCAGTGTGATTGAGGTCTTAGAGCCTTCATCTCAGTTAGAGCGGTCTGCCACCAGCTGGAGAGTATGCCTGCTTTGCACAGATCTGCAACCTGCACACTCCAGTCCTTGCTTTTTCTGCAGAGATCCTAAACCTATATTTTCAAGTCCCTGCTTGCCTCCCTGCATCCAGTCCCAACTTTGCCTGAACAGATCCTGAACCTACATTTTAGTCCCTGCATGTCTGCATGATTCCTGCATACAGTCCCTGTTTTATCTGTGCAGATCCTGATGCTTTGTGTCAGTCAGTGTTCTCTCTCTGTGGACCCCGGACACCTGTTTCTGCTCTTAACATTCATTCCAGTAAACAGATTCCTATATTTTGCACTCTAGAGATGCCAAAGCCCCCAAATGTGGGCAGCAGTCCTCTACTGCATGACAATACATAACCTTGAGTTTGTTGTTTGTAAAAGAAAGTGTGCATTGGATGAATAACATCCTAATTTAAGTAATATTCTGTAGAGCTGTTCCCTCAGGCTGTAATATAAAAGCACATTTTTCTCTTTATTAGTGCTTAGTTTGTATTTTCACCACAATATATTTCAGTGAAGCTGGCCATACACTGGTAGATTTTTTTTTTTTACAGTCATTTATATACAGGGCTTGAAACATTCAAGGGCGTCTCACCAGTTAGTCAAAAATGTCACCAATCAGCATGACCGGACTATAGCCTTGCAATTTATGTTAACAAATTTAAACTAGGCACTTATTCACTTATTTCTACGTAACAATACTTCCCTCCAGGTGTCTCGTCTGTCTCTGGCGACCAATGGGCCTAAGATGGCTGCCGCTCCGTGTCACCCTGCTGACAGAATAAGCAAGATGCGCAGTGGGCCTTCCCGCTATGCTAGTAATAAACGTAGCTTGCAGGGGTGTGGAAATAAAAAAAAAAAAAACTACTTGTCCAAGGGCTAAAGCGGGGCCCCCATCTACTTGTCATTAATGACAATCTACTTGTCCCAATACAAAAAAATAGTTTTAATCAAAACTAGCGATGCACCAATACAGTTTTTTTTGGTATCGAGTACGAGTAGCGATATTTTGCTTTCGGTACTCGCCGATACCGGTGCTTCCGCTGGCATGGGGCCGGCTTCCCAGGTAATCAGGAAGCCGTGTAGCGGGTAATGACATTCCGCCCGGCTTCATGATTGTCAGGGAAGCTGGATCCCTGTTGTTTGGCCTGCTTGATTGTGATTGGCCGGGAAACAGGCTTTCCAGCCAATAATGCCTATATGCAGACTCGATGCTGATTGGCTGGGAAGCCGGCTGGGAAGCCGGCTTGTCAGCCAATTGGGAAGCCAGGTAGCGAGTAATGCCGGCTTCCCAGCCAATCAGCAAGAAGCCGGCCAATCGGGAAACCAGGAGGAGGGTCATTACTTGCCTCCCGGCTTCCTGATTGCGCGGGAAGCTGGCTCCATGTTCCCCTACGGCACTGCTGGTCAGAGCATTTGGGCGAGCACTGATGCTGGTATCGGTGCATCCCTAATCAAAACCGTATTTGACGGTGCTAAATAGCGCTTCTCACTGGTCAGCGCAGTCACCAGTGAGGGGTTGGTTTTAAAAAAAAAAAAAAATTATTTATTACTTTTATCTTTGAATTTTTTTTTATATTTGTAACTTTTTTTTCCACTTAATTTTGTTCCTATCACATAGGAGCTTACAAGTTTGGAGGCGACAGGTTCTCTTTATGGAACCTGCCCTCCAACACAGAACAGATGTTCTGTGCAGTTCTTGACAACTGAGACAGGTGGCGCTGTGATTACAACACCACAGTCTCGCTGATCACGCAGATCAAACGAAGAACGGACGGTCTTCGTCTGCTCTAAGCTCTCTATGGCTGAGCCATTGTGTCGTGGTCCTGGGTCCCCCAGAAGAGCGGACAAACTCGCCGCTGCTTGTTTCATACTGATTCATGTGATCAGATCACTTGTATAAAAACGAGCGGCGGCTCCCCACTGTACATTTAGCTCTGCTTGTCCGAAGCAGGGCTAAATGTGCAAAAAAACTACTCGCCCGGCGCCCGAACCTGCCCGTCCTGGGCATCCGGCGATAGGAATTCCACACTCGTGACTGCTTGTCAGAAACCGCACACTGCGCGTGCTGGTTACTATTTAAACCGGCGCACGCTGTGACTCGTCCGGCACAGGTGTCCTCTTGACCGGAAGAGTTAATTTTCAAGCCCTGTTTAAATAAAACCTTTCCATAGAACATTTGATCATGCCATCGCAGACTTACCAATGGTGTTGGATTTTGAAATGAATGGAGTTTCTTCAACGAAAACCACATTCACTGTTAGAATTTTATTTGTTGAAGAACAATTTTCTAAACTGTTCCATTGATTTTTTTTTTTTCAGAAACAAAATTGATCATCAGTTTGACCCCATTAACTATTAGAAAATCAAATGTTCTGAAAACATGTTTTTTTCCAATGAAATTCTACTGGTATTTGGCTGCTCTACTTACGGAAATATCATGTGTGAAAAGTAAAAATACAGTCCACAAATTCAGCAATACACATTCTTGTGTGTATATGTTAATATCAGCTGTTCACAGAGATGTATTTTGGCCAGTATAGGCATCTGATTATATTCTAGAAAATATTGCATAATGTACTTGCGTTCTGTTTACTTCACAGGCCATGGGGACGTTCAGTTTGAAATGCTACATGTGTCTCTCCCTCATCCTTCAGTGGATGAACTAGGGCTGCTTGCACTGTTACGGGGGCTACTCACTTGTGGTCGTGAAGACCTTCTTACCAGTGTCTTGCCTTCTCCCAGCCAGGTAACAGCATCCTTGTGTCTATTGCCTTATACTTTATAAACCATCATATTTATGGTTCAGTTAAAATAAGTTGGCTTCTTACAGACCACAGACAATTACTTTAAAGGAGAATTATGAGGCGAGTGATTTTCACTCAGCCTCACAATCTGAGCCGACCTGTGACAATGAAACTGTCACAGGTCGGCTCAGTTGATCGGGAAGTGAGCGAACACATACCGACTGTCACTCACGGCTCCTTGCAGGGATTCCCCCCTCCCCTGTTTGATCCTCCAGCGCTGACTGGCGAAACGGACGGGGGAGGGGGCGGGCACAGCCCTCTCAATCCCGCAGCTGGGTGGATCTCGACAGTAATGTCGTGATCCGACCCGGCTCCGGCGTCTCAGTATACCGCAAGCTGTAGCTCGCGGTATACTGAGCTTAGGGTCACGGGAGAACGCTAGTTTGTGTCCTCCCGTGACCCTTGGAACTATGGGGAAAAGCTCTGATCCCGTAGTTCTCTAAGAATACCAGGGTTCTTTTTTTCAATGGTGCTGCTGCTTTTCTATATACACCTAAGAATTTGGGGTTCCGTGTTTATGCTGAAAACAAATATCTATGTGTCATAGGATGTGTATTTCCCCAAGCTGTACTTATCAGCTTCCAAGCCATTCTAATATATAAAGGGGGAAAGTATGGCATATTATTTAGGATGAACTGTTAACATGCTAACCAGGACAGAACCGTAAGAGTGTGGTGCTGAGGAGGAGGCACAAAAAATAGACTGCTGGATATAATATAACAGAACAGTACAGCAGATATGTGCTTTGAGCAGAAGCAGAATTAATGCAGATTCTGCTTTAGAAAATGTATGTCACATACTTAATATATTATCTGTTGAGGGATATTCATAGGGGAACAGGAGCAAGCACTAGTAAATGTAAGTGTCTGGAGTTGATTACATCTCGTTCCGCTCCTAGTATACATTAAATTATGGGGCTGAAACCCATCCAAAGAACGGTACACTTTCAAGAGCTGCACTTCTCTAACCTAAAGGTAGCCATACAACGTGAACTTCAACCAATTCCTGCTGAATTGGCACCGCCTGGTGATTGGAAAATTGACCGAACAGTGATTGCATACCGTCAGATGCTCTTAATGTGTGGGTATACAATGGCCATCAGTACAGATTCCTTTATCGACGCATTAATTTAGCGTGGATGGGGTAATCCAGTGATTTTTCACTCAGTCAGCCCTTGACATTCTAAAAACTAACTGTGGTATTACAAAGAGTAGAACTTTTTAACATGTTAAAAGTAAAGTCCAGTTTAAAAAAAATAAATGCACACATTCATACAAGAAAATAACATGCATTTATCATTTTGTTTGCATTGGAGCCAGTAAAGCATTGCAACTGTGATCAGTGGATGGCAGGTGCAATGCTCTTGCTCCCGTAAATTCTTCCTCCCAAGGTATACACATTCAGTAACCTGGGCGGGAGGAACTGTGAATGGAATACAAGTACAGGGATTTCACCACACTTGTATTCCATTAAGAACTATGGGACTTATATTCTTCCATTCGCAGATCCTGTCAAAGGATCTGTAAATGGATGACTCGACTGTGTGGGCAGAGCCACGCGCAGCCATGCCCTTTTCAAAAATCAACAGCAGCCTACCGGGAGAAGAACCACGCAATTTAGGTAAGGTGGGCACAATGTGGTTAGAGGTTAATTGTGATCATGCTTCATGTTACACCCTGAATATGTTTAACTTGAAATATGGTTTTAACAGTGAACTTTGCCTATAATCTATAATGCTTTAGGCATTGGGATATAAAATACAACTGGACCTTAAAGAAGAACTCGGGGCAAAACTTTTCTTAACCCTTGCAGTGGGGCTACCCTCGCACTGCAAGGGTTTACTTAGACATTTTTGTCTAGGTGCTAAAAGAAAAGTTATACTCACCTGATCTTTCTAACTAGCCAGCTGTCCTGCCTCTCTCCTACTCCACTCCAGCGATGGAATGTCCCTCGGTGTCCTCACGTCCTATACACACTGTATTTGGATGTGATGACTCAAGGATCCTTAGACCGCTGCAGGTGCTCTTAGACTGGTCCCCGCAATCTTCCTTTTTGGGGGGGGGGGGTCGCCACAGCCCGGGCGAGGAT